GCGATGACACCTTGGTCCATAGGCCATGAGACGGAAGAGGTAAAACGCCGTACGTCGAAAATTAATTGACAGAACAAGTCTTTATTGATAAACTTATGGAGATGGGACGTAACTGCGAAACGCCGCGTTAGTCACGTCGGAAGTAACCCCAGCTCCATGAGTCAGCTCCCTTGGTCTTAAAGTTAACGCCACAACATTACCTTCCTTAGGATTTGATTGTTAAGTTTGGGGGTAGGGCTTGCCCCTTTTTTAAAAAGTGGTTCCTACACATTTCAGTGTGGCGATCCGTCATCAGAAATTTATCCAAACTGAAGTAGGGACTTGCTCCCTGGGAGTTTATTATTGTCATTTTGAGATTTTGTTACATTACATTTTTCACCCTGGTCTACTACGCAAACACCATTTTTTTTTTTTTTAGAAGCACTGGTTTAAATGTCGTGGACAATGTAGAGAGTTATCTCTCTGGTAAGCACTTTAAATCACCTTTATCTCCCTTACCTAGGGTTACGTGACTTCGACGAGTATATTATTTTGTGTCTGTACTGTATAATTTAAAATTATGATTTGAAAACAAAATATATCTACAATTCAACTACAAATACAGAGAACACACGTGATGAAATAATTAAACCATCAATTGATATAATTGATATGATCAGTGTTTTTTTAATACATTGTTGAATTCACACACAAGTCATATGTAAAGTCGGCAAATAAATTAAAAAAGAAACTTAAAAAAATTCCAACTAAATGACTTTAGCAAAGGTAAGTTGTTCAGGGATGATAGCTCGGTCATTTGACAGAGCTATGTGGCACATACACCTTACATATGTCATATTAAGTGGTTTGACATAACATAAAATAACATGTGTTTTAAAAAAAATAATGATAAATAAATAATAATAGTAACAAACGATGACAGAAAGATAAAAGCATTTGGTTTGAAGAGTCTTCTAAACAAAACAAAATGTTTAAGTCCATGTCACCCACCCACTCCGGGATTTTTTTAAAAATTTAGTTTCTCAATGACATTTCTTTCTCTGTCTGGGGTGGATATTTACAATATTTGCATTTATAATAATGGAAACAATTTAATAATTGGATAACAAAGTTTTAATGGCACAAATAATTTGAAACTTGCTTTCCCCCCCCCCCCCCCCAACTCCTGTTGCACAATTTAGAGTACACTCCTTTGCATTTGTGTAATTTTTAAATATAACATTGTTTTTTTCATATTTCCCTTACGTAATAAAACTTAATTTGATATGTCGTATGTTACACATCTTTAATATATTAGTGTAAACATTGCCATTATAATTAGGTAGGCAAAAATCTAAATATTAATTATAAGTTATAAGCTTATATTGGTTAAATAAAAAACTGATACAATAACATTTTACAAATAAACAAACTTTTTTTTCAGAAAAAGGGTGTAGCTACATTCGCTTTCGGTGTGTCATTTTAGGGTAAACAAAAAAAATTGGGGTCATGCTTACTACATTGGGGTTTAACTACAATTATTTTTAATGTCTACATGGCAAATATTTTTTTTATTGTAATAGACATTTTTAAATTAGATATCTTTTTCAAATACAATTTTTTTTAAATGTGTCACTTTTTACAAGATGCGTAATAATTAATTAATTAACTGCCAAGTTAGCTTACTTTTTTTTTTTAAATAAAAAAAATAATAATCACTCAGTTTTAAAATTTAAAGACATAAACATTTATTTGATAAATTCTACCGTATAGAAATACCTGCAGAAAATAATTGAATATTGCACCTAATGTGTCATGCAAGAGCATCACTGGATGTCTACTGTGTGAGAATGGCTGAGGACAACAGTTCAAACACATCATAGAGATAATCTAATACTAGCACCATGGTAAGATAAGATTTATTTGATCAATAAAAGAATCTTATCTTTTCTTCTGGTATGATAAACCAATTACAGGAAGGGTCATAACTCTCCTGTAAAAAAAAAAAAAAAAAGGGGGGGGGGGGAAACCCCCCAAGGGAAAAAGCTAAAAACTAAATTTAAAAAAAAAAAAAAAAAAAAAAAAGGGGGGGGGGGGAAACCCCCAAAGGGAAAAAGTTTAAACCTAAATTTAAAAAAAAAAAAAAAAAAAAAAAAAACACACACAAAAATTAATATAACCCAAATTTATGTTAAGCTCAGGTAATTATTAATGCATCTAACTGTCAACATCTTAAAAATAAATTATATTTAATGATAGCTGAACTCATAAATAGTTGTGTGGTAAAGAACAAAACATATGATGTCTTCATTCAGTCAAAATCAAAATTATTTTTATTTTTTTTACACATAATTATAAATCAAAACAATGAGTTTGCTCTCCAGCATTTTATCACAAATATAACATATAGTGGAAGGATAAAAATACTTTAAATTGTGTTAATAAAAAAAAAACAAGAACAAAAAAAAAACCCACAATAATAATAATAATAACATTATAGTTATATACAAAAATTTACATTAAGCAACAATTTTTCATAGAGGGAATTCACAGATCACAGCTGAAGAATTTGATAATGATGGTTTGCAGCAGATGGATCAGTTGTGATTGTGCTACAGTCTGGATCTTTAAAGGGGGGGGGGGAAGGAGAGGAATGAGATCAGTGACATTCAATGGGAGCATGGCAATAAGTAGTTTAAACCATGGCATCCAGTATGATCCAGTTAACCCATCTCATCAGTTAACCCATGGCATCCAGTGTGATCTTTTTTTGTCTTTGGTGCGCAAAGTCACCAACACACTGTAGGGATTCTTTAGTTAAAAAAAAATCATTTTTTTTAATCGTACAAACATTTCAGATACAGAAATAAATGTATTAAATAAAAAGTTCAAAGATAAAAAAAAGTTTTCTCAGTGTGCTTTTATTACATCTTATTACATTTTTAAAAGGGTACAGTGTTGCTAGTTTTTTCAGTCTTAAAGATCCCTCTGCCAGATTTCTCTCTGTGTTACTTATGACAGAGAGCTGAAACGGGATTACCTAACTGATTCTGGCACAGAATGTAGTTAAGAGACCGATAGATTACAGCAGTCGCCGCCGCCGCTGGCATTTGGCATATCCACATGAAATAAGGGCAATGGCTTTAACCACACAGATACACGATTCAACAACAATAATAAACAGCTTTCTTAGTTGAGTGAATGGGGCATTGGCTGATGAGGGGGTAGGTTCAGGTTTCAATGTCCATTCTGGCCGACATTTCTTTTTCCTTTCTCCATTTGTAATAGCAGTGTTATTAATGTTCCCCTTAGCCCGCTTAAAAATTGCTGTTATAACAATTTCTCCTTAAAAAAAACTTCACAAAATGTTTTTGTCCCTACTTCATTGAATTTGATTAATATTCCCTATAATGTATTAATTTTCTTTGACTTGAGTTAACTGTGCGGAGTTGAAAATTTAAAAAAAAACTCATGACTTCACAAGCCCCAAGTATGGAGACACTTAATTTAATTCAAAATGGTGGGTGGAAATCTTTGGCATGTACACAACTTCAGTGCTTCTCAAACTGAATGCTGTGGTGGGCATGAATTTTAAAAGAAACCCCCAAAAAACCTTTAACAATCTGAAATTAAATGTTTTACATAGTAATTCAAAATTAAAAAAAACAAAACATTAGAACAAATTTAAATAAAACATCCAAAGAACTCAGTAAATAATTCGTAACAAAAGTTTTTTTGGCTGTAATCTAATTTTCATATTTCTACTATTTCCATAATCAATAAGTAAATCAAAGGAATATGTTTTTTTAAAATTTTTGAGATCAGCAAAACTCTGTGCAATCAGTTTCAATTTTACGCTGCACTAGAATGAATTTGATGTGGAAGAGATCTGAGATGTAGTCCGAGGAGTTAAAAAGTTGTGATACAAAATATATTTGCTTTGAACAAACTTTGCAAAATGTGCAAATATTCTAATGAATCTATTGAGCGGAAACTCTGGTGTATGTTAATGAAAATAAGAATTTATGACCAAATCAAAAATTAATGGTGATCTGATTTTATTATCAGCCCCTACTCCAGATTTTGAAGACTCAAAATAATTTCAAAGAACATTAAAATATTATTAATTTTTTTGATTAATTTTTTTTCCTTCAAATAACCAGAAGTAGGCTGCATTAAGCTTTGATTAGCAAAGATTTAGCAGCATGAAATATTGAAAGTATCTCAAATTAACTGAGACATTGGTACTTAAAAACATTATATGCTTCAAATATTGCTTTTGAAAACAATGCACAAAAAAAAATCTCAGCACTCTATATTTTAAAACTGCCTGCCAGGTCCTATTAACATCATTAAATTATCAATTGATACGTTCATATCAAGCATTTACCAATAATTTTCAATTTGAAAAAAAAAATATATAAAAAATTAACTATATTCAAAGAAATATATTGGTTCAATAGAGAATTTTTTTTAGTCTTTATATTTTTTATCCAATTGACTTAAGACAAGTTATAAATAACATACATTTGTGTCACCAAAATATAATCCCTATCAACCAAAAAATAACTCTTTTAGAAAAAGGATATGGTTTGAGATTTTTTTAAAATGTCACTGAATGCTGTGTGTCCTTGATATTCATAGGGAACATGGGTGCCTAAATTGCCCAGAGAATCTCACATTGTATGCAAAAGCTCACTCTGCTACCTTATAACATTAAAATAAACCTTTCAACTATGACCTCTGACATCACTAGTGGAATGGCATGAGATTTATGAGAAAAAACATGCATCTCTTACTTAAACACGCAAAAACATTTTTTAAAAATTACATGGACATTATTAAAGCAAAAAAAAAATTCTATTTCTGATATTTTTTGTCACCTTCTAGTCTTCAAAATCTATTACTCAGATTTGAAACATTTTTTTATTAAAGCAATGTAATAAATAATATCTTACACACTGACTTTACAAGTAATATCACAAAATATTTAATGAGACACCCGGACTGTCACTTGTAGTTTTCTCTCCCTGCAGCCAGTATGTTTTAACAGAGCCCTTTCCCTGGGGATACGGTAGGAGAAAGATGAGAGCCACAATATATAGGTTATGTGTGAAGAAAGCAGAGAAACAAGTTGAAGTTAAAAAAATAGATTACAGTCTTAAAACTAAATTTTAAAATTGACCTTGCTGTGAGGCACAGTTGGGAAGTAATTAAAAAAACAGATAACTGGTCAGTCACAAAAAAAAAAAGGATCAACATGTAATATATTATTATTTTCTAAATGACCTACCTTCATGTCAACATAAAAATATATTACTATTTTCCAAAAGACCTACCTTCATCTCAACATTCCCCCTGAGCTCCAAGTCAAAAGACCCAAATGTGTCAAGGACTTCTTTACACTGGGGGCTGACGTGAATTTTAAGAGCTGTAAATGAAACACACAAGCAACGCTCTAGCTTAAATATGGGTCATAGAAAATAATGGTTCGATAATTTGAAAAACTATAAATAATTTATTTCCAAAACAAAATAAGTACCAAAAACAAAAAAAGACTAAATACATTTAAGGGAACCAGAATGGAAGTAATGATGGAAGTGAAGGAAGATATATCAAGTTTCATTATTTTAAACATCTTAGTCAAATCATTTTTGGAGTAGGACCCTTTGCATTAAGAGAAGGATATGAAGGTTGGAGTATGGCGGTTTGCATTAAGTGAAGGATGTGAAGCTAAGTGCTCTACAAGGAGGTATTCTTTATTTCCTTACGTAGACCATTGGATTCCATTCTTGAGGCAGTATTGACTGTGTCCCCAAAGAGACAGTAACGAGGCATCTTAAGACCAACAACACCAGCACACACAGAACCTGGTGAGGCAATTGGAAGATTAGAGCAACATGATGGGGACAGTGATTATCAAATGTAATGCATGCAGGCAATTATATTGGGTGCCAGCTGAACAGGAGCTCTGTAACTATTTTACCGCTGGTAGACAGGTTCATAGCACAAAAAAACTTTAATGGTGGCCCCTGATCATATATTATTCTGAATTTTAGTGACAATAACTTTAACAACAATCAAACCGTATTAGTCTAATAATAACTTTTGGAAGCATAAGTGTTTTACATGACAGCTTTTTTATATAGGCTTGTGCATGAACAATATTGAACTTGATGTCATTTTAAATATTATATAATTAATCTTAGAGAACTTTCATAGTTTTCGACACAATTTTATTATTTTAAAAAATCTCATAATTTAATCAAATATTTTAATTAGAGAAGTCTGAGACCTTTATTCATTTGTTCTAAAAAGCAAACTTTTTAAAATTTAGCATAAAAAAAAAATACCATCACAACCGAGAACTATCAGAGTGTGTTATAATTTACAATTTTGTTTTTCCCATTATATAAATATATAACTATTAACATAAGGAAATCCTATAGTGAAAGAAAAATCTCGTCTACCTGTGTGGATGCCAATTCTGATTTTGAGCCTGTCTTTAGGCCGGTGCCTGATGCGGAAGGTGACTGTAGCTTTCAGAAGAGCCAGGCTCATCCTGGCTATCTCCCGCGCATGAAGGATCCCATTGCGATCTGGAAGACCTGACACGACCATATAGGCATCGCCGATGGTCTCAACCTGGCAGAGTTGGGCGGGAAATATTATCTTAGTACTAAAACAACACAGTTATTACATCAGTGAGTTTATTTTGTTAAATTTATTTTTAACAACAGGCTTCTTAGTAATGTTTAACGACATTTTATTTAAAAAGTTTTTAAACCGACTTCCCCCCAATTCTTTTTATATCACTTTTTATTAAGCATTCCTGTTGCTTTTAGTTGAAAGACTTTATTTGTTTCTTCTCTTAGATTCCAAACTTGGGAGGGACATGACAGAATTTTAATTTTAATCTTCTTCACCAAGCTTTTTGATGTTTTCTGATTTTTAGAACACAGCTTTTTAGGTAATTATCTTGACAAGCCTTAGATATCTTTTATATATTGAATGCAATTATTATTGATTAATTTAATTATAAATCATCTTTAATTGTTTTTGAAATGAATAAGGCCAACTTGTTTGCTTCTGAGGGTACAATTCAAATTTTGCCAACTTTATCAACATTAATCATTTCTCAGTGAAAACTTAAAATTTTCATTAGGTAATTCTTATTTTCTTTAATTTCCATCATTTCTCTCAAAATCCTAACACTGGTCATTGAAAATGTAATAATTGAAACATAGCCTATATATTTATATATAAATAGAAAGATATATAATAAAAGCAATACCTTGTAGACATCAAAGTTCTCAATAATGGAGTCAAAAGTTGTGTACAAGTCATTTAACAAATCTACAACCTGGGGATGTTGGAATACAAATAAGTATTTAGTCCAAGGACAAGGAGAGGCAGCTCAGTCTGTTGAACTATAATAACTGAGCCCATAATTAACAATGTCAACGAAAAGTTGCTAGTCAATTATGTACACTTACAACGATATTTAAAAAAAAAAAAAAAAGTGATCTGAACAACCAACCTAAAAGGAAGGTCAACCCTTTACAATAAAAATAAAGTTTTCAAATTTATTTACAATCAATATCTCATTTTGTACATTTAAAAAATACACAGTAGCTGGGCTGGGTGTTGACTTGGTCTACAAAAGACAATGAGGAAACAAGTATTTAAAAATAAAATAAAATCTCTCACATTGAGACTTAGTAGTAGAAGAAAAATCAGATAACCTAAGATCATAGATGTGTAAAGACTAACCTCCATGGGAGTACTCTCTGCGGACATGGCAGTGAATCCACAGATGTCACTGAAGTAGATGGAGACACTGTCATACCACTCAGCTGTGACAGATTCCCCTCTGATCAGTTGTGAGGCTACTTTCCTGTAAGCAAAACAAAGATAAACTAGAACACAGATCAAGATTCAATGTTACTCTTAAAGCATATGCAATGCCAATGATGTTGCAATACAGGATCAATGCTTTCTATTTCCTTTTTATTAACTCCGCTTTTGTTCGTGGGTGGCTTGGCTGGCATACTCTTCGGGCGGCTAACTGACTCACTTTCCATCACTTTACCGAGCTGAAACTTGGCAGATAGACTCTTTGCATATGACAAACATTCTATTACATTTTCAGCCCCACAAAAATTGGTTTTTCCTGTTTTTCAAGGGAAAATTAAGGAAATAAGGTGCCACTGATTTCACAAAAATTCCGGATAACTGCACAAAATGAGATCTTTTAAAAAAAAAAAATATCGCAAGTGCATATACTTTATTTTTTTATTTGAAATACCTAGTGAAGTAAATCTGCAGTGTAAAAGTGAGTGGGTAATTACAATTATTTAAATAGTTCAGGTATGTGAAAGAAATGAGTGGTTTCAAACCAGGGAGGGGGGGGGGAGTCGAATGATTGGGATTCGTATATAGTGCGTTACTTGTGTGCATGTTTTGTCAAATTTTCCACCCCAACCCCCATTGCTGGATATTTCATTTTATGAAGGATTTATATGAACAACTTTGTTATTAGGGATTGTTTAATTATATCCAATCATTAGTTTCCAATTGCTTAATTTTATAACAGACAGTCCCCCCCCATGCCAAGTGCTTACTTTGGCAACATGTTGTACAACAAGTCCTCTGCTTTCTTCTTCTGCTGGAGGTAGTCTGCCGTCCTCTCCTCCACCAGAGCCTCCAGGTTGTTGGCGTACTGCTCCATACGAGACAGGAGATTATCAAGAATATTTCCCTTGTCTCCATCTCTGCAGTGTGAAATGTACATTATGTTTTACAAACACACCATCAATATACGTGACAAGAAGCTGCTGCGTTGTAAACTCTCATTTATTTATCCTTACAAGGACATAACTTTTATTTTGCCTTACAAGAATACACTATATTTATCCTTACAAGGATATACATTTGATTTATCCTTACAAGAATGCAAATTTTTTTTATCCTAAATAACCATTATTATTTAAACCTTAAAAGGATTTACATTTTATTTATCTTTACAAGGATAAACATTTAATTTATCTTTTAAAGAATATACGTTTCATTTATCCTTAACAATGAGATAAATTTTATTTATCCTCACAAGGATATACATTATCTTATCTTGTATTTTCATTTTATCTGATGTCAGTTTACTCCTGTACATATTTCTAAAATAATATTAATTTATACATTAAAAGAAAAAAAAACAACAAAAAAAAAGCCTGTCTTTTGAGAAGTCATCATATACATAAATAGAAATACATGTGAACTGTAACAAAATATAAGGCTAACATTATCTAAGATATATTATAATATCTAGACCACACAAATCTTTATCCTCTCAGCAGCACTAAGTTTAGGTTTACAGTTAAATGATTCATTTAAAAAACACAACATTATCTTTACAGAATCAAAGTGTTTTTAAAACACATGATAACAACTGCCCTTTACCTATTCAGTTTCCTAATTATAGATTTGAGGGCTTGAAAATCTGGCCGGTCTGCTGGATCTTCTGCCCAGCATCGTCTGAATGAATAGAATCGCATCATAAAAATAAGTTTAGGTAAATTTATCAAATAAACACATTATATGATTGACACTTCAGTAACTTAATAAAAATTTCATGTTTGATTGGGAAAAATGATATTTTTAAAAGACTAGAATAACTGACAGTTGAAATGGGGACAAAATAATTTTGCTTTATGTTTAATCTCATTTCAAACATTTAATTGGTCAGCATTGGCTTTTATTATTGATATGCTACCTCTGCTTGATGATGAAAGTTCTATACGACTATGCTAAATGACATGCCAGTTAGTAATGACATTGCTACATGTCGGCGTACATTCTACATGACAACAGTATTTCTAGACATCTGAATACAAACTTTATGACGCCGGCCAACTCATCGCATGGACAATCATATTCTTCCAATGTGGGCCTAAAGTAAGGCTTGAGTCCCAGTTTGACTTTCTGAGAAATTTCTGTTTTAAAGAAAATGGTCGGAGATCAGGAGTTTAAAAATGGCTAAAATGTATCAAAATCTTTCTGTCTTTGTGCAACTAAAAAATAATTATGCCTAACATGCGATAAGGATCAAAAGTAGTTTAGACTCAGCATTTGCAGCAGTGCAACTATTTTATTTTAAATATTGAACATATCTTTTAAGTTTATTGAACCTGTTATACAGTAGTTAAATACAATTAATTACCATAAGAACCAGACAATTTACACAAAAAACAACAAAAGACTTAATAATTTGAAAATTTATATATTAAAAGATATAGGGCAAATTGATCCACAGCCCCCTAAGGGAGTTACATCCCTTTATTACAATAGCTTCATTATTTCCCCTTTCTCACTGGCCTACCCTGTGGAGACACGTCCATATTCTGCAGATAAAAAACACCATTTCTGTACACAATCTCCTGACAGATTATGGCAAAACTGTACACGTCCCCCTTGATCGTTCCTTCTGGAGGTCTGTACGCCATTCGCAGGAGTTCTGGTGCCGTCCACAGCTTATCTTAAAGAGTGGAGAAGTAAACAAAAAGTTCACACAATTATTCAGATGAAATCAATTAGGCTGCAAATGAGAATTCTATAAATAAAATAATTATATTTTATAAACTCAAAAGGACAAATAATGAGTCTAAAAAAACACAAAAACCAACAATTTTCTTCAAAAACATATTTAGAATCAGATATTAAAGAAAAATTTAACAACTCACAAAATCAAAGTTTTTTCTATAAATCCTTTATAAAATGTAATAACGAGCAATGGGGAGGAACCGTGGGGCTAAAAAATTTCAAAAAATACTTACAAGTAACACACTTTATAAGAATACCATCTGAGTCACGCATGCACACACAGACTGTGAAGTGCCTGGACACTTACTGTGGAAATAACTGTAACTGTTTTCATCCTCTTCACTAGATCTCACTGCACCTCTGAGATGATGGAGGCCAAAATCTGTTATTTTCACCACAAATCTACTGTCCACAACACAGTTGGTGCTCTTCAGGTAACCATGAGAACGGATCTCAGTACCCTGAAGGTAGGCCATGCCCTGTTCAAGTACCGGAAAAAGAAGATAAAATGTGAAATATTTTGATTTGATTTCATTTGATCCTAAAAAATAATTTTTCATCGCAATCAATAAGGCAGTAAAAATTTTGGCGTCATCAAAATAAATGAAATGTATGCAAGTACCAAAGCAGTGTTGGATCAAGGAAAATATTGACAAGGGCTTTCTTGATGGGCCTTGATGCCCCAATTACACAAGATTTGAAACAAACATAGCGACAGGGGCACTAAGGGAGGAATCATTGATTAAAATCAGAGATGTCATCTCTCTTTGCAAACCCATGATCAAATAGATTGCTTCAACCCTTTAGCTGGAAAGTGCTGCAATGAATAGCCATAGAAACTGATGAAGGCTGATCTCATTTACATTTTGAAGACATATTAATATTAAAATATAGATAATTTACTTATCCGAGATGCCACAGGACATCTTAACAAACCAGCTCTTCACACGGCTATGTTTAAAACTCTTACCCTGACAATGTCTTGCATGATGGAATACCTGAACATCCAGTCCAGCTTGATCTGTTCATTTTCAAGAACATCCTGTCATAAAGGGAATAAAACAAAACATTTAACTCTTGACAATTATTATTTTTAAAGTGTTGATGTAAAAGTACTAAGGATTAAGTATTGCAACAAATATTTTACTATGTATTCATAAAGAAAATATTTACAACTATAAAGTGAAATTTTTTAAAATCTTTGCTAATGAAAATTTTTTTTTTTTATGTACAAAAAAAAAAAAAAAAAAAACTTTAAAAATTATTATTTTTAAAATATTAAAAATTTAATTAAAAAAATTAAATTATAATCTTAAAAAAAAAAAAATTTTTAAAATTTTTGCAAATTAAAATTTTTTTTTTTTATGTAAAAAAAAAAAAAAAAAAAAAACTTTAAAAATTATTATTTTTGAAATATTGGAATTTTTATTATAATAATTTAATTTTATTCTTCGATAAAAAAAAATTTGAGGCTAAAATCGTATTTGTCACTGGGACTGACCTACCTGTAAGCTGCCTTTAGGGCAATACTCAGTAAGAATACATGAGTTAGGGAAGCAAATACAGGCTCCAATAAATCGAACGATGTGATCATTCTGCAGATCTTTCATCTGGTTTAATAAATTAAAAATAGTTGCTATATTTAAGTCAACATAATTCACTTATAACATAATATATTGTTATTTTTTCTGATTTGCTCGTTGGATATTTTTTATTTATTTATTTTTTTAATACCAAAACTGAGAGTAACAGTTCATTTAAATTTGTGTATCATCCCCTTTTTAAATTCATCTAAACTTAAATTAATTACCATAAGTATGTAGATTTATATTTAGTAGATTTTTGTAGTGGTTAGCAAACACATATCAAATGTTGACTCAATTAGAAGTAGAATTTTTGTATTTTTCAACAATAGTAGCTAATAAGGGTTTAGCATTAACAGAAGTACCTAAAATGGGTTTAACATCAACAAAAATAGATAAGGGCTTAGCATCAACAAAAGTCCCTAATAAGGGTTCAACATAAAAAAAAGTACCCAATAAGGGTTTAACAGACCATTTCACCTAGAAAAGTTAATTAAAATTTAAAAAAAAGTGTTAATAAATTGCTACATTCTATGTCTCACTGACATCTTTTCTTCTGTCTTTAAAAACAAATTATATTTAAATTCGTCTTATGGCTGTGCTTAGCAAAGAAACAATACTGTGTGTGGTCTGATATCTATGAATGAATGGCCTAGTCAGTCTATTATCCATGACTCACTCTCTTTATCTCCAGCAGCATGGGCTTGTTGATGGTGATATTTGATCTGTGGATTGGCTTGATGGCAATAATGGCTCCCTGGGGGAAATCAAAGTTAGTCAAGTTGTTAACCAAATATTGATTTAATTGAAGGATCAATTGAAATGTGTGCAATTAAATATTTGTATATAAAAAATAAATACTCAAATCATGAAATAACAAATAAACTGTGGTAGAAATAATAATGGCTAGAAAATGTCATTTCAGACTAGTGAAGAAATGAAACGGTAAAGTTTAAATTAAAAGAAACCCCCACTATTTAATTATAATACATTAAAATTAAATGTAACCTAATATACTATTTTAACGCTATCACTTAGATTTCATTCCAGCAACCTTTGGTGAAATTAAATAAATAAAAATGTACAGTGCAGTAGGGGTGTGCCGGACCCCGGTCCGGAATCCGGTTCCGCCGGATTTTGCACTATCCGGTGAAATCCGGTTCCGCCGGATTTACATCTATCCGGAACAACCGGATTCCGGAATCCGGAATATACCGGATTTCGGAATTTGCCAGATTTTGTGACTCACCGGATCATAATCTGAAATAAAAGTAATTCTCTTTCCCGAATTTCACACGATCACGATACATTAATCGATTGTTTCGAGCGTTGAGCTTGTTTAATGTTTAATATTCCGTACATACCAGAGGCTAGAGTCAGCACCGCTAATAGTGGCCAATAGTGTAGGGACTTTGATAAGAAAATTTAAACTTTTTGTAAAAATAAACCAATGGCATAGTTGAAAAGATGTAATTTTTTAAAGAATTATAACACCAAAATCATATTTTTAGCTGTTGTAGTTTTAAAGTTATGAATTTTTAAAGTACGACTTGGTTTGTCATTTTTTAACATGGACTGCATCTCCACATTCTGTGATCTCATTCCACCAATCCCGTCATGCGCAATGACTATATAGTTTATATAAGGCAACGCATTCCCTGCCTTATCACTAAAATACTGTTTAGACTTAGTTTAAACTTTCAACTTTGGCACATGAATAATTAATTAAAGCTTTCCCTGACCAATGGTTTAATAGTTTTTGCACACGGCAAACTCTTATGAATGAAACTCTGAGGTAGTACTACGATACAGTTATGCAAGTGGCTGTGAATGGTTGCCAATGACAACGTGTTGCACACGGTAAATTCTGATCATTTATAATATGGATTCTACCGGGTTGTTAAAGCTCAAATTAAAACATTCCAGTTTAAATGTCTTTAAATGCATTCTGAAACACAAGTTATCAATTATTTTGATGTAAATAGTGATAATAAATTAATATTTCCTAAGTATCGTCAACTTCCGCCATTAAAAAGGGGGGCGTGGCCAACCCCATGGCGAAATTAGGTTGAGCGAGCTGCATAACCTGCTGCGAACGCGTAGAAACATGGCGTCTCTCGTAAGACACTTATCCAAATGGAACGGAACTCAAATATATATCGAAAGTACTAATTTAATAATAAATAGACACACACATCGGAAAATTAAAAACTCGGATTTTTTGGCGCCGATTGCGAATTCCCATACACAAAAAGTAGTAGTCCACCTTGACTTACCGAAGTATCTACCAATAGTACCAAAATCCGGAATCCGGGAGAAACCGGAATCCGGATCCGGCGGATTTCGCATAAGAAAATCCGGATCCGGTTGGAAAAAACGGATCCGGCACACCCCTACAGTGCAGGCACATGCCATTAGATTTTTGGTTTTCTGGTTGAGTATTAATTAATAGTTGTATATATTAAAATTTTTTAGCATTTCTTGTTTATTAATTACCAATTTTGCAAATAACTATGAAAGCTGATTATTTATTATCCACAGACCTTGTAGTACCCAGTCCTTGTAAACAGCTGTCGGTTGCTGGCATCATTCAGGTGGACAGCGATTGTGTCCCCTGAACAGTCACTGGGTAGTGACCCTTTCTGTAAGCAAAATTTAAGTAATACAGATAGATTCTTCACACAGCTATTTACATTGTTTGTTTTATCAATTAAATAGTGCTACACTTTGTTTGGTACAATGGTATAGTTAATAAACTTAACTAAACTTGAGCCACTGTGTAAAATCCTTGCTGTGATAGTTTTTTTGGGTTTTTTTAGACTTTTTTTCACTTACTCTCAAGCTCAGCCTGCTCCCTTGCCTTTCTAGTTTCTTGTTCTTCTCTGGGGCTCCAAATAATATATCATCCCATCGTACTCGCCAGTTCATCTCGGCAAGTTCAGCTTCCAATTTGATGTGTCTGAAGAAAAGGAGTGAATATTTACTTTAATATCAATTTTTGATGAAGACTAACTTAAGATTCAAAACAGTACTAATTGATGGTTATTCAACTATTCTAGATTAACATTAAAAAATAAATTATAATTTTAGCTTGATAGTTGATTTATCAGTGCCCTTGTGTTTATTTTTCAATAACGTATATTCTCTTAAAGGATGCTTTCACAATTATTCAGATCAATTAAATTATATTCAAATATATGATTCTCAAATAAACAGCATTGTCACCATTTAAGGTGATTGCCAGCTAAGTGATGCAGTTGTTGAAATTATATTCATAAATCATCATCAGTGTCACTTTTTTGTAAATACATTACACAAACCAAACAAGACTGATTATAATCAAATATGCCAGTAAAAGCTGAAAAACGTATATTTCTGTCACAGTTAACGCTTGACTAACTTCAAACTTCTTACCGGTAGATGAAAAACACAGCGATAAGAACAATCAAGAGGATTGATCCCAGAACAATGATGACTATCCCATACTCTGGAAATGGTTCTGTGGTAGGAATTTGAGGTTAATAAGCTTTTTAGTAATCACTTTTTTGTGTGTGTAATACACTAGAGATGTTAAGCTGGATCATTTAAAATATCATAGTTGCATAAAACATTGGATTCTAAAATAGAGAATCTCATGCGTTTCTCCAGTATGTGCACTATGACATGCTTAAAACTATTAAGTTCATCAGTTGAATTAATGTTTCATAGATAATTTGACTGAAAGTTTAAAAAAAAAAAGAACATGTTTTGAACATTTAGATAATGTAATCATATCAGAGTTAAATTTTTTGGGAACAAATTTGTTACAATTTTTTTTAATGGATTTTTGGGAGTGTGTGTAGGCCTACGACTACATGCTTTTGAATTACAAAGGCTGTCATGTGTCATGTCTGTAGTAAAAAAAGCTTTTTAGCTTCAAAATTGGTTTTCTTAATAAATAAAAACAATATTTAAAATAATTTTCTTTTAGCTTTTCTGACAGAAATTGAACCATAAATTAGTTCAAAGAATAAGAAGTGGATTAAGTTCATTCTAATTTATTGAATGGGGTGTTTGGCAGATGATGCAGGATTTTAAATCACAAAGAGTATTAAAAATATTCTTAAATATGAGATGATTTTATAAATGAAAATCAAAAGAATGGATGCTATGTTAATGTTTTTCCGTCATCTTGGTTGACAAGACCAGTTAATTCTGTCATTAAACCTAACTAAATGTATCCCTAAGTCTGAACCCTAATTCACAGCAACTTTAACAAACACGCAAAAATGACGTCAGGGTACTATCTCTCCAAATTAGCCACCCATTCTCTTTCATGGACTGATGATTTTTTTTTTTTTTGTAGGCTTTAACTATTCTGAAGTTTGCCAAACTTACACCCAGATTTTCTTAACACTAACTTACCGTCTGGTGGACATTTGGAGCCATCAAAGCCACATGTGGGTGTATCAGGAGGTGGACCCAACCTACCGCCGGCCCAGTGTATCGTTTTGTTGGGAACTGGTTCATATTTTCTTTTATTCCCAAAATAATTGGCAACAACCTGGATAAAAAAAATAATTGAAGAATATTAAAAAGTAAGAATGTCAAAATAATTAGATTGGTAATTACTTGTGTAATATATAATATAATATCGGTATATGTGAAGTCAAGATAAATCCAATTTAGGCCCTACTCATCATATTTATAACTCCAGTGTTACACAATAATGACTACAGAGAGCAAAACAATGTTTAATGCATGAATATCAAAAAAATTCTTACCTCGAACTTATTCGTTTCGGGGTTAAGATCCAGCAAAGAGTAATCAGCATTTCGATCCCCATTAGCATCGATGCTAACATTTCCAGTTATTCCTGGAATGATTATAATATACTTTATTTTTATAGTCACAAAAAAATAAACACCTTTTACTATCCATCCACAAGAAAATATAATCTGAAACTAAAAGGCTAATGTGTGGAAAGAAGATATAAAAGCTTGCAGAAATATGGTTAAAATTAATTACTATAATTTTATAGATGAAGTATCTATCTTTTCAATGTATTTACTGTAGAGATTTTCTCAGGAGTATTGTAATCGTTAGGACCGTTGTTGACAGTGTGTAGTGAGATAGCAGTCATAAATCGGGGCGGTGTAATCCTCAATGTATTGCCCCATGCAAATATTGGTTCGATCAGAAATAGTAGAAATCTATAATGCAATCACAGTAATGGAGCGTGAGGCGATAATGGAACGTCGCCGTGCCCCGATGCTAAAAAAAGATATGTAGGCTATTACTACAAAGTGCCAATATTGATAGACGCTACTTTTTAACCCCTACCCTTTTTTTTCAGAATTAAAAAAGGGGGGTGGGGGAATTGACGAGTTGCACCTATACTAGAGTAGTTAGAAAATTGGAAATACTAGCGACAAGTCTGTGTATTCTGTATTTATATTAGCATAAATTGCTCTTTTAGCTGTTCAAATTACATTGCAATCCATAATTTTCCTTATGTTAAAGTGTGAAGAAACATAATTAAAATTATGTGATAAAAACGCGCTTTTGATATAGATAGACCATCATTGCTGCACATTTACATTGTAACTGCTGCCACCGAGCTAATGATAGTGTAATCTTGGAACGCACGTTTAATATTATTTTGGCAGACTCGCTGCAAAAATTTTTGGGAACCTCTGTTCTAGAATATGTAGCTTTCTCATACTGGAGAATGCATTTCACGTATTGGACACAGGGCATATTGCGTATAGGCTCTGCTATGTTTGATGGGAATGAAGGGAGCTTGATTGTTTGGAAGAAGAATTTCAAAAGGGAAAGATTGTGAGTCACGCCTATATTTTTTTCAATTAAAAAAAAAAATAAAATATTTTCTTGACTTCCAAAGATGTAAAAATGTCTTTCTTTTTGTCCATCCTCTAACATGACGCCTTCTCCGATCAATCTTTCCACACAGATTGTTCGATCAATCTTTCCACACAGATTGTTCGATCAATCTTTCCACACAGATTGTTAGATCAATCTTTCCACACAGATTGTTCGATCAATCTTTCCACACAGATTGTTCGATCAATCTTTCCACACAGATTGTTCGATCAATCTTTCCACACAGATTGTTCGCATACTTTTGTATCCCATAATTATTCCTCCCAGTCAATACTCCCCCTCCTGGCCCTGGCCCTGGTCCTGACTGACACGTTAGCGTGATACGATCTCAATGCTGGCCCCTTTATTTGCCGTCATGAGTTCTGTACCTTGGTCTTCCTTAGGTCACTCGACTTCCTTACGTCATTCAATACGAGATTCGATATTTGTTTAGTTTTTTTATACAATTTATTTTAAATCCCCAAGATGTCTTGAGTTCTTGTTATTTGGTCTTCATTTGTTTTACAAAACTTCATATTAACATCCATATCCTTTATGGTTATACTCTGTAGCCTCTAGCATGGTTTCCCAAACTTTTTTGATATTGTGCACGTCTGCAATCTGTTTGACTAAGTCTCGCAAGTATACAAAATATAACAATGCATTTTAAATTGTAAAAAAAAACTATATATAATTATAAAAATGGACTCCTAATTGACTCCTAATATTTAAAAAAAAAATAATACAAAATAAAATTGGATTAAAAAGAGAATTTTAGAATTTAGATTAAAAAATCTCTGGTTTATTACAAAAGGAAAATGTTAATGCGGATATTGAACAACAACAAAAACAACAAATATATCGCTATTGTTATCTTAATTCGAAAGGCAATGGTTTCTCTTTACTTATATTCACTTTCTTTACACCCTCTGAAATGCCAGCTCGCACCCCCCCAGCTTGGGAACCCTTCTCTAATATGTCTATAAAATAAATGCCGGTGTCTCTGTATATTATTAAACCAAATAAAAGTGTTATTATTTTTTTTATAAACAAATTTACATTTTTAATATCTAAAAAAAAATTAAAAAAACATAAATCGGAATTCCGTAAAACTAAACTTTTGAATTTACAGATAATTTAAAAATTATTATTATTATTAGTTCAATATTTAAATATATCGATATTTATATACCTTTAGATACTGCATTAGGGGCCTATATGACGAGCATATATTTTGTTTAAAGAAGGATGTCAATGACAAAATTCTGACTCACCAGCAAACGTTCTGTTCCACATTTTCTTAGTTATGGTATCCCCATCAGAGATGGAGCCGTTTTCAGCCAGGGTCTCATTGAGTGCTAGAGCGTAGAGCAGGACGGCGTCATGGAAGGCGCCAACAAAGGAGTTGACCTGTAGCAAATGACATGATAGGATAGTATACGGGATGGCATCAGGCATTGCATGAAACGATAGGAAACCAAATGGTATGACATGACGTGATAAGAAATGACATGACATGGTATGGTGTTTTACGGCATGGCGTAAAGCATGACATGAAACGATATAACATGATTTGATATGATATGTCCCAATAGGCCATGACATTATATTGCACTAACACACATATTCTGGTGAAGGTCTGAGATTACTCTGTTATGACCCCGGCTCGTAAATTGGCTACCAGCTCCATACGCTGAGCTGAGCCATACAACATTTTTCTCACAAAGGGTTCTCCAACAGCCATGGCTTCCCCCGAGACATCTAGCGAGGGACATTCGATCAACAGGTGCTAGTGGCTCCGGGATAAGTCAGCAATGCCGGCAGGTGGGATCCCTGTTGTCCAGCCGCCAGAAGTATGTGCCTATGGGGCAAAGCTCGATATGCATCTGCGTCACTAAGCTCTGCTGTCTGCGGCCTAACCCCCACCATGGGACCTATTTGCTAGGAGTGGGCAAGTTTGAAAAGACGGCTCTGGTAGTCGTATTGTCTGCCCATTGCCGGTACCACTTCGTCCTGAAATGGCCCGCCAGCCAGTTCTTAATTACACGAATGAACATGACTTGATATGATATGGCATAACATATGATATGGCATAAAAGGACATGATATTACATTACATGGCATGATGGAACATGTCAAGACATGACAGTACATGACAGTAACCATCATATTATAGAAACCTTTGAAACGATTTACTCAAAATTTTCTATAAAATAATAACGAATTGCTGAAGTGCAAGTGATTAAAGAACGAAACAAAGATACAAGACGATCATGTACATTGTAATCATGTACTTTGTCATCATGTACATTGTAATCACGTACATTGTAATCATGTACTTTAATACAACAGGGCTGTACGTTAAATTGTCATAACATCTTTTAACGAACAGCCCAATCCCTTAAACACATTTTAATTTATCTATTTTAAAAATATTTTTAAAAAAAGATCTTATTAACCATAAATAAATTGTGATAGTAGATAGTAAAAACATAGTGTTATTTTCGATTATTTTTTTCATCTTTCATTTGCGCCCACTCCTTCAAAAAAAAAAAAAATGGGAGAACTAATTGGCTTTAAAGGGCAGAACCTCCCTTTACGCAAAATGGTACAGTAGACATACATTAATTAAAATGATATTAATTATCGTTTTGATTCTCCAGTCAACTTGTTGTTATATAAAACAAGAGGCTTACTCCATTTTTCTGTCTCAAAAAAATAGGACACAGACAAAGAAGTCTAATTAAAATATAAGACACCAACAAGAGGTGGGATTTGTGACCCACTTTTGGAAGCCCACTTGAATTTTCTCGATCTACAAGGGACATCTACATTTCACACGATGTCATAACCTTCTTTCGGGTTTCTTTTTTCTCTAACTGTCATCAGAAGCCATACAGTAGCCTATATTCATCCATCTGAAAAACCCCGTTAAGGTGCTTAAAACTCTGATAATATTGATGATATACACAATCTCTCCTGTCTTTTGACCCCAGCCAACATGCCACGAACGCGTGTTCGACGTTTTTCACGGGTGACGTAAAAACAAATACTCGAATCCCTCCGCCAGAGCCTCGTCGCGCCCTCAGAGATTGAGTTACTCCGCGGCGCGGCTTCAGTCAACTTGGCATCGAGAGTAACGAAGACATTGTCAAGATGTCCCTAATTGCTCGTAGTCTGTGTACACAGCTTCCAGAATGAAGGGGGGAGAAGGCCATTAATGTGACTCTGGTGGACCAGGGCTAATATCGTTGACCAGGGTCCGGTTAATCTTGGACAGCCCCGGGTATGAGATCGGAGTCATTAGTTAAAGACGATGACATCGTTTTAGATTCTTGCGGCACTGTTAAGACTCCTATTTCCAATTTTATCAACTTTCGTGATCCTAGTCTACCGCTGGTAATCCTGTGAATAGATGTGTCTTTTTGTGTGGTTTTGTTTCCCGAACGGGCTGAGTATACTCTTCCATTAAACTATTAAAAACGTATAGCTATGTTAACCCTCTCCACTGCAACATATTGACCCTAGCGACTTGGTGTAGCACACCCGTACACTTATTATAAAGGGAAAAAAAAATTTTCTGGCGATTCCTGGCAACTGGGCGGGTTACACCCATAGTCTTATATCACAGTAAATGGCTCTCTTTATGTTATTTATTTTTGTACAATGTGGCATGATTTAGTTGGCTTCAAACCAAACTACCTTCACAGATCGCGTTGTGTCTCCCACTGAAGCATTTCTTATGTACATTGAACAAACCAAAAAACAAAAAAAAAAAAGAAAAAAAAAAAAAAAAAAAAAAAAAAAAAAAAAAAAAAAAAAAAAAATAAAAAAAAAAAA